ATATATATATAAGTATAATGTTCTGCTGATTTTTGTGCCGTTACTGAAAGCCGGTCGGGTTCAGTTAAGGCGAGGATGTCCTCTTCATCTAATCCCGAGGACAGGATGTCGGAGGAACTCAAGACGAGTTCGTCACAAAATGCCAATAATACCCTTAATATTTTATTCAAATAAAGACTACCATTGCTGAGCAGATTTGAAGCAACGGTGGACATATTTGTCTTTATATATCTTCGTTCCGCCTCGTTCAAATTGCTTGTCCATTTGCCCTCCTTCCTCGTCTTCCCAACGCTACTTTTCTTCTGCGGATTTCTCGCCGGCGGCGTGCTTCGAGTGCAGCGTCACGTCTCTTCCTATTATTAGTGTGTGAAGAGGCAGCAGAAGGATTCAGAGCCTTTACAGTTTTCTCTCTCGGCCTCGTTAGGAAACGCTATGGAAGGGGAAATGGAAGTGGTATTGGAGGGTGAAAAAGATTTTCGCTGTTCTGAGTTTGATGTTGATTACGAGTTTGATGCCCCGAGGTATTTTGAATTGGGGAGGGAGGAGTTGCAGCATGAGGCTCAGCAGGCGGAGTTCTGGTTTGAAACAGCCGGGAACTACGCTCCTTCTCGTATGTTTACTTACGCCTATTCCTAGGGTTTTTTTTTTTCGGGGGATTTTTTTATGGGTAGTTTTTTTTAATTGATTCCTTAATATTTTGTGTTGTTCTTATTCGTTCTATTTCTTGGTTATTTTATCTGTTTTCTGTGCTGGTTAATCGTCATTTTTTTTTACTTAGCGCGATGTTTTGAAATGTGCCAAATGCTGATGTTTTGTATGGGAGGAAGTGGGCTGGAATACTTGCTGTTTCATTAAAATATTGTTTTTTTCAGGGTTTTTGGAAAATAGATATGGATAACTTTTTTTTAATCTTTTTGGGACAATTTTGTTTGTTTGACATTGTTTAAGCTAAACATTAAAAGGGATGCTCTGCTGAAGAACTTCGAAAGCTACCCTAAAAGAATATTGTTGAGAAGAATCAGTGACAACTTACATATATGACGCCCTTCCATCCTCTCTAGTGTTCTTGGCTGTTTTAGAGAAATGTCAAAACAATCCAACAAGCTTTTAGGAGTTGATATCAGTTTGCAGACTGAATTAACATCCTGTTGATGATTATATTCTAATAGCTATTTAAGATTTTTAAAAGGAAAAGGCGTCACATACATTAAGGGACCAACTAAACAGAGCCGTTTATGCACTAATAATTTTGTCCTATAACCCTACAAGCTTGAAATCATGTTCTAATCACCGACATCCAAGAAAAATGAGGTCCGCATCTAATTCGAGGAGGTTTTCCCTTTGGAATTGACCCATGCCACCCAGGTTAATGATTATGAGAAGAATATATTTGATAACAAGGTCATAGAACTTAGATTATGTCAATTCAAAAATTAAAATATTAAACCCCTGACCTTTAAGGAGGCTACCTATAATATGAAGCCGTGCCTTGGAGTGAAAAAAAGAGAATTTAGAGGCCCAACAATTAACTCAAGGTTTCAAACCTCTCCTCATGGGCAAGAAATGCTGAACACTGGCCTCAAGGTCCATGCATTGGGGTGTCTAAAGATTTGTTATTAATAGCCTAAAGCTGACTAATGTACATACAAACAAAAGCTCCAGAATAATCTTGATTGCTATTAAAGTTGTAGGAACTTTCACACAAAGATGTCGGATGAGATGTTTAATATAATATATAATCCATTTAATGTCAATAGTTGATTCAAGGTGACAAGTTTTGATTGAATATTCTGGGATGAAATTTACTTCACGATACTGGATTTGATGGTAGATGAAACAAAACAATTAAAATTTTATTTCTTTTAAAATAAGCACATATGGTAGATTAAAACATGATAGACCTTGAAAAGACTGCCGATTGTGCTATGTAAGATATATGATGATGTGATAATTTCTTCATTTTTGGAATAGATACTTGGTAGATGAATACGAATGAGCTATATTTTGTGGGTCATGATGTTTTTGGAAATAGTATAAACAATATCAAAGTGCTTATATAGTGTATGTTAAGGGAGTTCCTAGAGAAAACATGAGCTAGAAATCTCTTATAGGAGCTTTTAACGTTGGAATCAAATAGTTTGAGATGTATTGATTATTATGAGAGGATTTGGTTTTGGTTCCATATCATATACCTTTGGCTTAATTTTGTAAAAATGTGTGACAGCCATTGAATTTTATCCAACTTGATCGCTTAAACACTCTCTAGGAATTGATATTGAATCTAAAAAGTTTTTTTATGCTCATGCGATAAATGCTTTTGTGCCTCTCAATTTTTTTACCTTTTCTCACATTATTAAGTTTATGTGACACCCTTATGTTAATTCATTCTTTAAGGCCTTAAATTTGAGGTGAAGCAATAGAAGACATGATAAGTTGTCCATTCTTAAAAATTTGCTGAGGAACTCGATGAGTACAATTTAATCCCATTCAATTTACTTGAAAAATATGCCAGTTTATATTCTTTGTTACTTGTCACTCACCTACTTGCTCAAGTTTTTGGGTAATAAATGTTAAGCATCAAAATATGAAGGCCATCATTCTGGGTCAATGATTCTCTCTAACGAGCAACGATGTTGCATGGGAAAAGAGAGGTTTTCCTTTAAAAATGTTTAGCAGTTTCTATACAAAATGTAATGGTTTGAGTATCAATATTTCAAACAATTTGATCAATAACAATAGCTATGCTATACATACAAAATCAGAATAAATCATTTTGAAGCTAGCGAAAAAGCATATTTGGAAGGTAAGATTTGTAGATGAAATGCTAGTAGGAGTGTTAAAGAATGACCCGACCTTTCTGGCCTCAATACCCTAGGGAATGCTCTTGAAGAGTAGTTCTCCAATGTTATGAGATCTCTGACATTATTACCAAACTAAGTCCAAATTTATTTCATAAACTTTCTAGATTTTGGCCACTCATTTAGAAAATGTAAGCTCATAACCTTTATGCTTTTACCGCACGCAATTTAGGTCATTGCTGCCCTAATGAATGCAACTTTTATAAATGTTCATATAACACTTTTCACCTTAATTAATAAGCTTATCATGTACATAATTGATATGACCATGGCAAATTAGGAATAGTAATTTTGTTTTCAAGTCGTGTTAGGTTAATTATGCTGAATTTTAACATACAATTTGCTTATTTCTTCCATCATATATTAGATTGATGCCTTCATTCAACAATTATGATTTGTGTGCATCTCATTGTTTTGCATGCTTATGTTCACAAAGTTCAATAATGTACGGGCTTTCTCTTTTTCATTCTCATGTATGTGTATTCTTTAAGGATGTCTCATGCTCTTGTCTTATCTGATGATTTTAGTTGATTATATGAATCTTTGTTAACTATTTAATCTTGTTAAGTGCTATACAATTTTACCCGAGTCTTTTCAAAATTTAGCTGAAGGTCATGCATGCAAGGTACCACCAGTGCCTTTGTAACAGTCCTCTTGACTTAAGTCACTATTGAACACCTGTGTTGTCTTTAAATATTAGTACCAAGCTATCACAATAATTACCATTTCTATATAAGTACTTGTTTTACTAAAATTGATTTTTTGAAATGTTCACATAATTCAGCTTTAAGAGCATAAATACTAAGAATACTTGTGATGTTCTCACTGATGATTAATTCAATTGTAGTTACTCTATTACTAACCCTACTCATCACAAAAAAAAAAATGTTATAAACTCTTTATTAGCAAATACGTTAGCTTGTAATTTTCAGTAACTGTCTTAATTTTTTCTTTTCCTATTTTATTTCTCAGAAACATGTGATTTTTATCCTCCTTGTCATTTTGTGGACTCATTTACTAATATTTCCATTTAATTCTCCAACATGCCTAACAAATCTAATATTGGTGCTATATTTAGTAAAACCTTGCGGATTTTAACTGCAGTTAAATTATTGAATTTCATGTGTGGCTGATGTTCTAGCTTGCCTATTTCCCAACACAGTTGGCTTAATTTGTAAAACATTTCCCTACCGTACCTTTCTATTGGTAATCCTAGTTGTGTTAGGATGTCAGTGGCATTTTTTGGGGTATACTGTTGTGTGTGTCTAGCATAAGTAAAGGTGGATTAGATTCATTAATTGGATTTTCAAACTTTAACAATTGGCTGCCAACTTAACACAAATACTTGGCCTCTGTCATCCGAACTTGAGAGTAGGAACCCTCAAACCTTAAGCACCTTCTTATGGAAGAACTATAGGAGCATGAATATCTTCATAGTCTAACCTCTACTTCTGTAAGTTATAGACAAGAAATAGTGCAAAATCTGAATATTTGTGAAAGAATATGGCTAAAGCAATTACGGGTGGAACTTCACATGGAGAACAAAACACTATTAAGATGTCCAGTGATACTCAAGGAAGCAATATTTCAAAGAATCCGGTACACCATGATCTAACCAAATATATAGAGATTGACCTACACTTCATCTATGAGAAGGTCAATGGAGGGATTGCCCGTCTAAGCTTTATCCCAATTCGGTATTAAATTGCTGACAATCTTATCGAAGCTCTTCCTCGACACCATTTTAGTGATTTCAACAACAATTTTGGGATTTATAACATATACAATCCAATTTAAGGGTTACTCACGATATGTAGAGGTCCACCTACGGTTTTAACAACAGTGGGTCTGTTGTTATATTTGAGGGGCAGAAATTATTTTCTCTTAATTATCCATTATTGTGTTTTAGATTCTTTCCTTTTTGACATAATTATTTGAATTTTCATTAATTGTATGAGGCTTAGTCTGAGTCGTATATATATTTTTTATTTACTTAATGAGAAAATTAGAGAGTTTTTCCTCCTAAATTTTACACATGGAATGTCTTAAAATGGCTGTGCATTTTATTTGCACTTAACTGTTGAAATTTTGTTTCACGCTGTTTTATTGAGCAACCTTACCTTGTTGCTATTTGGGATAACTTTTGATAGCGATTTTTTATAAATCCAACGGCTCTAATTGTTCTGTCAGCTTTGCTAGTCAAGATAAGTTTTGGCAAGAAAGGAAAGCAGGAGAACATAGATGCAAATTTTAATATCAGGGATGTGCATTCTCTTGATGCTCAAATGTGTGTGTATGCTTGCCCTGATTCGTCTCTTTGTGGAAGCTTAGCAGGTATTTGTTTTCATTAAGCTTGATCTCTTATTTAAGCTTTCAATTTTAGGTGTTGTAGCTTATTTTCCCTTTCATGGTTATTAAAATGTTACATATTTGTATTTATGACCCATGAAATGACCTCATAAGGTCTTTCCATTCAACTTCCTAACCTATGTTAATCTTTCTTTTTATCTTCATTTCATATGGGTTTTTGTTTTCCTTAATTGTATAGGACGTGCATATGATACTTGCCCACTAAAAGATCTTCCAAATGATAATCAACACGCTGCTTTGGACGGGACAGTTTCTAGTAATCCATGTTTTATGAAGCCAACTACAAGCCAATTGGCTACACAAAATTTAGTGCCGAGGAGTGCTGGCTGGTCGGTGTAAGCAATATGCAGCTCTGTTTATTGTAACTGTTTTAATTTTGAGCATTAATATTCATCATTTTTTCTCTAGATAGATTACTCAAGTCTGGAAGTATCTCCAACACTCCTCATGTAGGCCAGGAGTTTGCTTAGATAATTAATTATCCATACGCTACTATGTATTTTATTATTGTCCTTCTTCATCAACTAGTAGTTCTGCGATATTTGTTTATTCTGTTATTGAGTTTGTTGAATTCTTCTTCTGTATGCGAGCTTTTGCAATCAATCTAACAATCTACAGAAAATTTGGAAAACACGCAAATGCTATAAAGTTCTAGCTTTATCCAGGATTTATTTCTCATTTTTACAGGTTTCAGAGGCCAGTAACCGCACAAAGTCGAAGCTCTGAAGACCCAATACATGGTTTGCTTCATGCTGACAAAAGGCAAAAATTAGCTGAAGGTCATGCATGCAAGGTACCAACATATTAACCATTTTTTTCCCACAAAATTTACATGCATATATCACTAGAAAATTAAAGTGACCTTGGAGTTTTATAACATCAATTTTGTAACTGGAAATGATCATATTTTAGAGCAATTTTTACTGAATTTTCAATTATAAACATTGTTTGCTTTGGTAAAAATGCAGCTCCGTTTATTCTGTCTATCATCAGAGTATGTTGATTACTCTCTTCTTTTGCTATTATGTGCTTTTTCCTGCTTGTGCATTTTTCGAATGCAAATAATCAAGGATGACATGGCATGGTATGTATTCAAATTGTAGAGGCCCTAGTACATTTATCTTTTTTATGTGGATGAGATGCTAAATGAAGACTTTCATAATTCATGATTTAACTTTTTTATGTGGATGAGATGCTAAATGTAGACTTTCATAATGCATGCAGCTTCTCACTATTTCTACGTGGCAATTCATACCGTATGCTTAATGAAGACATAAATGATGAAATTTCTCTAATTTGACACACATTGCAATCAGCTTATTCTCCTTGCCGGCAAATGAAATTCTCCTCATCCATATGGTCCTACTTGGGAGTTGCATCCTTGTCTCTTTGGCTTCTACTTATGTTTAATGGTCTCTCCTGATTATTTACCTGGGGCCATTTTAGTCCACAGACTCCTTAATGGGGGCTAAAATGATCTTCCTTTGTGACTACTTCAGCCTATATTAAAATATTTTGGGATTAAATTGATACTTTGATAGATTTTGGGACTAAAATGCCTCCCTGGAACGTCAATGGACAATTTTGATACGTTTCTCATTTATGATTGAAATGTTGCATTCCTCACCCAATTTGTGGAAAATGGTCATGAGTGATGGTTAATACTCTTAGAGCAAAATGATTTCCGGAGTGATCAAGGATAAACTAATGAGAAACACTGACAAGAGAAATGTCATTTGTAAATTATTTTTGTTAATCGTTAAGCTATCTAGCAAATTACATATGCTAGAATAGTATTAAATTGCATCAATTTGATAAAAAATTTATAGACTTTGGGAATATTTCAGTCTATATTAAAATATTATTGGGTTTAAATTGACACTTTTATGGACTTTGGGACTAAAGTACCTCCCTAGAAAGTCAATGGACCATTTTGATACTTTTCTCATTTATGATTTAAATGTTACATTCCTTGCTCAATTGGTGGAAAATAGTCATGAGCGATGGCTGATACTCTTAGGACAAGATATTTTTCTGAGTGATCAAGCATAAACAAATGAAATTTCTCTAATTTGACACACATTGCAATCAGCTTATTCTCCTTGCCGGCAAATGAAATTCTCCTCATCCATATGGTCCTACTTGGGAGTTGCATCCTTGTCTCTTTGGCTTCTACTTATGTTTAATGGTCTCTCCTGATTATTTACCTGGGGCCATTTTAGTCCACAGACTCCTTAATGGGGGCTAAAATGATCTTCCTTTGTGACTACTTCAGCCTATATTAAAATATTTTGGGATTAAATTGATACTTTGATAGATTTTGGGACTAAAATGCCTCCCTGGAACGTCAATGGACAATTTTGATACGTTTCTCATTTATGATTGAAATGTTGCATTCCTCACCCAATTTGTGGAAAATGGTCATGAGTGATGGTTAATACTCTTAGAGCAAAATGATTTCCGGAGTGATCAAGGATAAACTAATGAGAAACACTGACAAGAGAAATGTCATTTGTAAATTATTTTTGTTAATCGTTAAGCTATCTAGCAAATTACATATGCTAGAATAGTATTAAATTGCATCAATTTGATAAAAAATTTATAGACTTTGGGAATATTTTAGTCTATATTAAAATATTATTGGGTTTAAATTGACACTTTTATGGACTTTGGGACTAAAGTACCTCCCTAGAAAGTCAATGGACCATTTTGATACTTTTCTCATTTATGATTTAAATGTTACATTCCTTGCTCAATTGGTGGAAAATAGTCATGAGCGATGGCTGATACTCTTAGGACAAGATATTTTTCTGAGTGATCAAGCATAAACAAATGAGAAACACTGATAAGAGAAATGTTATTTGTAAATTTTTTTTGTTAATTGTAAAGCTATCTTGCAAACTACAGATGCTAGAATGGTATTAAAATACATCAATTTGATAAAACTTTTATAGTCTCAATTTCAGTCTATATTAAAAGATTCTGGGGATTAAATTGACACTTTTATAGACTTTGAGACTAAAATACAACCTTGGAAAGCCAATAGACCAATTTGATACTTTTTTCATTTATGATTTAAATGTTGCATTCCTCGCTGAATGGGTGAAAAATGATCATGAGTGATGGTTAATTATCTTAAAACAAGATATTTTTTGGAGTGATCAAAGATAAACTAAAGATAAAAGGTTACAAGAGAAATGACTTTTGTAAATTATTTTTGTTAATTTTTATGCTATCTAGCAAACTGCAGGTGCTAGAATATCATTAAAATGCATCAATTTGCTAAAACTTTCTGAAATTTATATTGACAATAATTGAACTTTATAGGATAATTTTTCTATTTGTATCACTTGTTTGTATTGCTTTCAAACGACAATTCAGAACACTGTTGTTTCTCATAAGTTTTTTTATTTCTTGGTAGTCTTTAGTCATGTGTTGATGTTTGCTTGAATTGTAAAATAACTCAGTTGATATGAGGTTGAGGCATATAGCATTTGTTTATTGAACATTCATCAACAACAAATTATCTAATGATTTGTTTTATGTTTGAACACTACTGAAATTTGAGTTAAGGAGTATCATATTTGAGAGTTAATGAGTTTCCATTTTGTGGTGTGCTTGGTTGGCTATCATCTGAGTCATTTTTATTTTATATTTTTGTTTATATTTTAGGCAATTTGATTTGCTATAATAAGAAGAGATAGATTTTATTCTCATATAAATGAGTATTCAACCCTATTCGGGAGAGAAGAATTAAGAAATTCTCTCATATGCATTCTATATGGTATTAGAGCATAAGGTCTTTTTGTGACTCGCCTTTTTTGTTAACTTTCTTACTCGCGACACGTGAAGATAAAGCATGGGATTTCACCGACATTTGGGCCCTCTCAACTGGCAGGAAGAATGCATCACCGAGCTTGACTTTCCTGTTCAACATGCCTACCGCCCGAAACTCCCATCACCTGGCGACAACGATCCATTTTGGATCCGATTTCAACGAGTTTGAGGTGCTACTCAGAAAAGCACCATACGTGATGGTGAAGACGGCTGCCCCCAAAGTTCATGAGCCATCTTCTGAATTCAACCTGCACTCCGCCCAGGACTTCCCTTCTTTCAAGAAGGTGAATGTCACTCCCTCCCCACTGTTAAAGTGGCATATAGTTCAAATATCCTCATTTTATGTTTTATTTGAGCATCTTAGAGTACTCATGTCCCGTGTGTGGCCACAATTTGCATCTCCAATGCACTAATCAGTAGTGATGGATATATATAAGAAGAGCAAAGATGATTGCCTTACCAGAGCCATTACAATTCTGGAGAAAGAAGAACCAACATTTAGAATCTAGAGATAAAACATAACAAGACGGCGTCCATAAAAAAGAAAAAAAAAAGAACATGATTTCATCCTTTTATTTATTAATTCTATGACAAATGAAATAAAAAAAAAACATCATCCTCAAAGACATGGCACAAGATTTGGGATGTAATCAATGAAAAATGTAACTACTGTGACTACCAAATTATTTAAATAAACAAGAATTGGAGCTGCAATAAAATAAGGTAAAGTATACTTATGTGAACTACTGCGTCATTATGAAGAATAAATGATCCTAGGATTGCGTGTATAATAATTTAAGTGAAACGCAACAGCAGGACCGAAAAACATATTAAAATAGTTAGGAATCTAATACAAGACGCTCCTAATAATGATGCTATGTTTACCATCTATTAAAGAACAGTTACTTGCCTCTATCGGTGAGTAATACAGGACTTCTAATCTATTAGAGGTTCAACCCACGTTGTTGGTCCAAGATCAGCTTGAATGTCCCACAATAATTCTAATTTAATATCTAAATCCTATCAATGGACTGAACGCATGTGAACATACAACCTAACCTATCCCAATTATAGACACAAAAATGGAGGGTTATGAAATTGAGTTTAAATGATTTAAATTACAATAGAGATAAGTTGATTAACAAAGACAAGAAGTTTTTTAAAAGTTTACTTCAAAAAATAAATACCGTATATGTCATATTAAAATATAACAACTAATCTAATCTAATCTAACATAATCGATAAAATATTAAAAAAAAAACTATAATTGATTTCAAATTGAGTCGAGTGAGAAAATCGAGCAATAAAGTGTTGGAAGAAAGAGAGGAGAAGAAAAGAACTCACTATTGTGTCTCTTGATTGAGGGGATAGACGAATGAGAGGCCTTTGCTACCTGACAGTGGACAAGAAATAAAGAGGGAGTATAGGAGTAGTATAGGAGGGGTGACTATTTGGTCACTCGGGCTTGATGAAGGTAGTGGATTTGACGAGTCGTTGCTTGTTCGAAGGAGGTAGAATGCTACTAGGGAAAGTTTTGACAACTGTGGTGGTGTCAATTTGCAATGGCCTAGCAGTTGCAGGGTCTTAAATCACAGGATAAGTCAGTGAGTTGAGGTGGCAATGAGACACCCGGGACGTCGGCAATCAGAAAAGAAAGAACATTTTGTGATTAACTCCATCAGGGAGGCAGCAAAGGTGCCCGGGAGATCTTGCAATCTGTGTAAGAAGGGCACGAAGGCGGTGGATGCGATCTTAGGCAGTTCACATTCATTTGAGCTGAAGGTTGGCTCTTACAGGATAACCCAAGTCATCCTTTAGTTGATCGATACCAGTAGTTAGAAGTGTTTTGTGATCCGTGACAGTTATCATGTGAGGCTTGCTTAAATCTGAAGGGTGGTTTATCATTGCATCTTAACCTCCACCCACCTTAGGATACACTTGTAATTTTTGCTTTGTCATATGTTCCTTGTTCTCCAAATTGTGCTACACTGCTACCCACTATTGTAAGATCACTTATCTGCTTACCCCAGCTTTCCTTATCGATGCATCACCAACTTTTATGGCATTGCTTTTTAGGCTTCGTTTGAGATTGCGTCTGCCTTCCGTACTACCGCACTCAACATCATCGCCGGTGAAGAGGTCGCCTGTGAAGAGGACGTTTGGTGACCAAACGTTTTGGGAACATCTCCGGACGCACGCGGAAGAGTAAAAACATGAAAATATTGCCGTTTCAGGATGGAGTGGAGGAGTCCTGTTATGAAATGTGATTTTTGAAGGAAATTCGCCGAACGGCGGAGCTCCTTCAAACGGAGCCTTAGCCTGGCACAAAAACTGTTACCGGATTGACATTTCTGGCAATCTTATTTTTTATTGTTTAATTTGGCATTTGCGCCTAATTAGGGCTCTTATTTGACCACTTGAATATATTATAATGTTTACAGTTTGCTTTCTCCTTGTTTTTGATATGCACAAATGTGCTGTTTTGCATTGAAGAGTTACTTTACAGGACTTAATGGAATCTTTTTTTTTTTTAAACTGAGATATAGGTTGTTGGCACAAACTGAGATATAGGTTGTTGGCCACAATGCAACAAAGTGATCTATTGCACAAGAGTTCAAATAAGGTAATTTATTAAATTTGATTTTATATCATTTCTATTTAAGCAACAAAAAGTTATACTCCAGTTCTATACTTATATTTTCTGTTTCAGCTTATATCTTTTTTTTTAAGCGATCCACCATAATAACTAATATGGATGACCTTTTTTATATATTTTTTTTTTCTTTTCCTTGTTCAAATGGATTTACATCCAATACAAATTTTCCCAGATGTGGAATGACATTTTTTTACTTTGTTTTTTGAAAATTTTCTCCAAAAAGGCTGCCTAAGAGGATTTTAAGTTGGTGCAGTGAGTATTTTCTCAGTTGTGCTGTGAGCCTAAATTTAGTCTCTGATGCAGGAGTGTTTTGTTAATTGCAATTCTCACCTTGCAAAGATGAGACTAACAATTCCTAAAGAACCTGTCCTGGAAACAGCCCGGCGGGCAAAAAACTTTAGAGCTCACAGGTCAGGCTACACAATTTTAATCACATAGATGGATTTTCCTTCAGCATGATATTTATTCTTTTTACTTTTTTTTTTTTCAGAACTGATAACTCAGATTGTAAGAAGCCAGCACATCTACATTCAAAGCTCTTCCATTGAACAGAAAAGTAACGTGTGCAGCTTTCAAGGGCTTTCTTATAGTTATGCATTATGTCATTCTTTTGCCCTTAACTGGTTGGCGTTGCAGATTCTAGAAGCTCCCTCATTGTCTTTTCCCCAGAAGAGCACGCCAAAGTTGCCTATATTTCAGGTGTCACATCTTACTTTGAATCAAACATTTGCATATGTTGAGAGGTTTGATCAGCAACTCAGCTTTTGTTTTTTAAATGTAGGAGTTCAAATTGAAGACATCTGAGAGAGCTATGCTGCGTTCACTGGCTACTAGAACATCATTGGCACGTTACATAAACTCAAATTTTAGGATTTTAACCAAATAGTTCTTATTACTCATAATGCATATCACCAGACAGCCATATGCATGCACTAGTAAACTCGTTTTGTATTAATAATTGGGAAATTTACATACATAGCACACAATTCTTTTGTATTTACATATCTCACACTTAAAGTTTCAGATGTACATATCACTTTGGTGCTTTAAACCTATGCATGAAAAGGTATACTTTCCTTAAGAGTGGTAATAGCGTTATTTTTAATGCGATATTTAAGATTTGAGTCTATTTGTGCTAATATGAAAGTTTAGGTGTGAGATATATAAATACATAAGAATTGTGTGGTATGTAAATTCTGCTTAATAATTTTATAAATCATTTTATTTACTTTGGGTGTATTCATGGAAGTGTTACGGAAGCTGCACTTGGTATTCATGAGTCAACTTATTGCAGTCCAAAGATAATCTTGCTTCTGGTTCAATTGTAAAAGATTGCTGGACGTGCTCCAAAATATCAGAATGTCAACCTTCTAGTTTGTCAAAAAGAGTGACGTAAGATGACCATTATCACGATCTTTAAATTTTCAGTTTCTGAAAAAAGATATGCGATATTCATTTCATTGTCAGCTTTCAACAAATCTTATTGTTACTTTGTTATTAGATTGAAGTTTTGAGTCATCATTGATTCTAAAAACATCTACTTTTATTAAGGATTTGCAAAATGGTAGTTTTTTTATTCTTTCTGAATTTTGATTATATGGTCCAAACAGTTTTGCTTTCTCAAATTCTCATATGTAGTCTATGAACGCCATATCTCGTCCTTACTATTATAACATTTACCAATTTCTTTCTAGTAATTTTTTTAAAGCATTGATCCTTGAACCTTGGAGAAAGTATTCACATAAATTGCTACAACCTTTTAGAAAAATTTTTTCTCGGTTTTAAGATCCATTTAAACAGTTTTATTCTTCACTATTAAGTTTGCGAGATATTATTTTATGATGCTTGTCATTTTTTGTCATGAAAAGTTTACTTTGCTTCAATCATTAGCCACTTTTGTGTTATTTTGTGGCAATTTGGTGAGATAAAATAATGAGTATTGTTAAGCAAGTTGTAAAAGAAGTGTTTGGAGATCAACCGGAAAAACTCTCATGAATTAAAGTTGTTGGTGGTAGAATAATAATATGAAATAAACAATAAAAAATAAGAAGTTTTGTGTATAAAAATTGGTTTAGATGTTAAAACTTAGAGAATTTGAAAAAATATAAGGTGACTCGTAGGAAATCTAAGAAAGCAATTTTTTATTCTAGTAATTCTGCTTTCAATGATATTTATAATAAGTTATATATTAAAAAGGATGAGGTTTATTATAAACATGACAAACAAAGAGATAAGAAAAAGAAAGATTTCGTTTAAGTGTATGAAGGATGAAAATAAAAAAAAAAAAATTCTTAGATTAAGAATTCTTAGATTAAGATATTCAACAATAGGTGGATGGGATATTTTGATAAACTTTTCAATTAAGATTATGAAAATATAATTGATTTTAGGATATTAATATCTTAAATAATAACAATTTTTTTAATTTATCGTCGCATTTGTAAAATAGAGTTGATGGAGGCTTTAAAAAAAATAGAGTGTGGAAAATTTGTAGGACTTAATGATATTCTATTAGAAGTGTGAAAATGTTTAAGAGATCTGATGATTTCTTAGCTTATTAAATTTTTTAATATTATTTAGAACTAAAAAAGATGTGTAATGAATGGAGAAAGAGTCTACTGGTTCGTATTTTTTAGAATAAAGGAGATGCACTAGTATGCAAATTATAAAGGAATAAAGTTAATGTGTCATACATGAAAGTTATGAGAGATAGTAATTGAACATAGATTAATACATGATACAAAAATTTCTCAAAATCTGATTTGATTTATACTGGCAAGTTTACTATGAAAGCTATACATTTATATGTTAGACTAGCTCCTATGGTGCCATCCTTCACGTACTCCACTATGTCAACAAGCCTGCCAAATAGTTTGAAGACCATATTGTTAGGCGTGAGACTCAAAGGATAATTTAGTCATTTTTTTGTTATTATTGTGAGATATAAATAGTGCGTAATCTGTTTAGGGTCATGGCATCTGTGATTGTTGTCTTAAATATTAGCGTTAGGATTTGGGAGAGAATTACTTATCTCTTGAAGTGTAGGTTTATCTTTTATGCATTTGGGTTGTGTTGTTTGTGTCGGCGAAGTAATATATTTTTTTTGTTCTAATCTTTGCGGAAGCTAGTCTCATTATTATCAGATTAATGTCGGGTAACTCTACTATGGAAGCTATACCTTTGTTGAGAGGTTTGATAGAGAAATACAGGGAAAGAAGGATCTACATATGATTTTTTGTTGATTAAAAATACTTATGATAACATCCCATGAGAATTACATTGTGAGTAAGGAGGATCTACATATGATTTTTTTAAAATTAAAAAATACTTATGATAAGATTCCAAGAGACGTACTTTGGAGAGTTTTGGAAAAGAAAGATATTGATATTGATTATATTCAAGTCATTAAAGATATGGATTCTAAAGTTGTTACTTGTGTTTGATCACAAGGATGATTGACCACATCTCTATTTCAGTTGGATTACATCAGAGATCAACTTTAAGCCCATATCCTTTTTTGTTTTAGTTATGGATGTTCTTACGAGACATTTACAGGAGGATGTGCTTTGGTGTATATTTTTCGCTGATAATATCCTTTGCGTGAATAAGACTAGAGAGTTCCTGAAAAACTTGAGTTATGGAGGTCAACTTTGGAGTCCAAAGGATTTCATTTGATTAGATCTAAATCTGAATACATCGAATGTAATTTTAATAGTAGTAGATCTAATTGCAGGGTTGTAACAACGGATGATCAAGTCATTAAAAGGGGTGAACCTTTTACATATTTGGGGTCTATTGTTCAAAGTAATGGTGATATAAATGGAGTTGTTATTAGTAGAATTCAAGTTGGATGATTGAAGTGGAGGAATACATCAGACCTATAAACTAAAAGAAAATCTTTATAATACGTTGGTGAGACTTGCAATGCTTTATGGTGCAAAATATTGGCTTGTAAAAGTGAACTATAAAATTAAGTGTTGTTGAAATGAGAATGCTCAGGTGGTTGAGTGACTTTACACTTCGAGAAAAAACTGCAAAACTCATATATTTGTGAAAGGGTTGAAGTAGCTCTAGTGGCAGATAAGAATAGAGAGACTTGCCTTAGATGGTTTGGTTACATTAAACGCGGACCATTTAATGATCTGTTAGCAGAGTAGATGTTTTAGAGCTTACTTATTTTAATAAAGGTAGAGGTAGACCTAAGAACTATTGAGCAAATTGTATAAAAATAATATTAATTTATTAGAATTAAATGAAAATATGACACTTAATAAAACATGATGTAGAAAAAAGATTCATATAGTCGACCCCCACTTAGTGGGATAAGGGCTTGTTTTCTTTGTTGTTGTTGTTGTAATGCATATATAGATTATATCCTATATCCATTTTTTTTGTAATACAGGAAGATGTGCTTTGGTATATGTTTTTCGCTGATAATATCCTTCGTGTGAATAAGACTAGAGAGTCCGGGAAAAACTTGAATTATGGAGGTCAACTTTGGAGTCCAAAGGATTTCATTTGATTAGATCTAAAACTGAATACATTGAATGTAATTTTAATAGTAGTGGATCTAGTTGCAGGGTTGTAACAACGGATGATCAAGTCATTAAAAGGGGTGAACTTTTTATATATTTGGGGTCTATTGTTCAAAGTAATGGTGATATAAATGGAGTTGTTATTAGTAGAATTCAAGTTGGATGGTTGAAGTGGAGGAATACATCAGACCTATAAACTAAAAGAAAACCTTTATAATACGGTGGTGAGACTTGCAATGCTTTATTGTGCAAAATATTGGCTTGTAAAAGTGAAGCATAAAATTAAGTGTTGCTGAAATGAGAATGCTCGGGGGGTTAAGTGGCTTTACACTTAGAGAAAAAAATGCAAAACACATATTCGTGAAAGGGTTGAAGTAGCTCCAGTGGCAGATAATATTAGACAGACTTGCCTTAGATGGTTTGGTCACATTAAACGTGGATCATCTAATGATCTGTTAGCAGAGTAGATATTTTAGATCTTACTTATTTTAAGAAAGGTAGAGGTAGACCTAAGAAGTCTTGAGCAAATTGTATAAAAATAATATTAATTTATTAGAATTAAATGAAAATATGACACTTAATAGAACATGATGGAGAAAAAAGATTCATATAGCCGACCCCCACTTAGTGGGATAAGGGCTTGTTGTTTTTGCTGTTGTTGTTGTAATGCATATATAGATTATATCCTATATTCATTTTTTTTGTAATATTAATATTATTAGCATTCGTTAGTATCTGGTAGAGCTTTATGGTTTCATTCTTTTATCATTTTCTTAATATTTGAGTCCACGTAGTATTTTCTTGCATCTATTTTGTATTCAGAACCTTCTTTTTTTTTGGGTGAGGGTGAGGATTTTGATTATTTTTTAGTTGTTAGAATCTAAATTTGTTTGTTGTTACTTTATAGGCTTGACCATAAACATCCTTTGATATGTATTATGTAACATACAAGCGGTAATGTGTTCAAATCTAAATAAACTTTCATGTGTGTAGCGGTCGAAATCAAACTTCATGAGCTTGATGAATTTTTATTGATAATACATGAAATAAACTCCATATTGTGAAAAAAGGCTCACAATTTATGCTTCCTCTTTTCATGATAAGAGTCGATCAAAATATATTTGACAAATTTTAATTAACTTTGAAGTTTAACCTCATTTTAATTTTTTTGAACAGATTTATGATTTTTTATAACCTTTTGTCTGTATGTCACGAGCTTTATTTGTGTTACATATTAGTGATGATAGGAAAGCCAGAGGAAGCACTCAGAAACTCCAGAGTCTGAACCTTCACGAGAAGGTCAGTCATAATGGATGTTCTTAATGCATTTTTTACATCATACGTTACATGAGGTATCTGTTTCTTGGAGGCATTAATCAACTTCATTCAAATGTACATTAACCAGGCATTAAATTGGTCTGTCATTGTTATCTGTTATTTCTAAGTTTCAGCAGGCCATTGCAGCAGATCAAGCTCTATTTGTAGTTTCTCAAATAAAGCCTTCTTTTTAATGTATTGGATAGGAAACAACTATTTCTGATTTTGAAATTTCCAATTATATACTGCTTAATAAGAATAAAGTGATCAAAGTTATCTAAAACATTTTAATGAATTTTTTAAAAGAATTTTATGTTTTCAACAAACCAAAGGAGTCATCATATGCATATCATCCATACCCTCTGAAAAAACAGGAGTCAATAGCTTTTACAAATTGAATGGTCTAAGTTAACTTGAATAAATTTTATGTACTTTTTAACAGAAATTCAATTTCTCAACTCGTAAAAAGATTCAGCAGCATAATCCTCTATCAGAAGTTTTTAACAAGGTATGTTTTGAGTAAACTTCTTTTGGACTAATCACTTAATGTGCATTTCCTTTTGTGATAATTATATAACTTTCATCTAACCTTTTGAGGAATATTACTATTTGCTAGCATTCCAAAGGTTCACCCCTTATTTTCTTGCCTTGCATTAGCTCTCTTTAGCTTCAGAAACACAACAGTTTGATTCATCTTGGACATAATTTCCGGAGTCCATTCATGTAACTACTAAAACTCTTTTGTATTTTCTCTTACAATAAATTGCTTTTTGCAAGCAACACTGTTTCATTTGCATGTAAAATATTTGAACATGTCTAAGATTTATTGTATGTGCAGGACCCAGAAGAGACTGATAAATCCAGAACAACTGCATGAAGGGTGGTAATTTATCCTATAATTGATATTAGCTCTTATTTTCTTTGAGCCTTCTGCTGATGTAAATTATTCATCCACTGAAACAGTTGCTGCGCGACAACATTTCGATTTGTTGACGATGAAATTACCAGATGAAGATTTCAGAAAACTGAGGCACCTTAATTGTTCACGGAGGAGAGAAATTTTGACTTCAAGACATCGTGAAATATACTTGGGTAAATAACGATCATAAAGTAATAAATTTTTTGCCTGTACTCCTTTTATTTTTGGTCTTATAAACATTTTTTACTCTCTATAAGAAGTGATATCACTTATGAAAATAGGTTGGAGATGTTTTTATGGTCGTGCCTTGGAACCATCTAGTTGGAAGAGGGGTCGTAGGATTTTAGTTCTTCTTGGCTTAACGCTTGCACTATAATAGATCACACGTGGTTCGATAGAAAAGTGGAGATAATTTGATCATGGCTAGATCTAATCAGCATATTCTCTTACTATAAGAACAAGCTGCTCCTACTAGTACCAAAATAATGTAACATTTTCTTTTTTGAATAAGCTAAAGACCTCCCCCCTGTAAATACTTCAGAAATTCTTCTTTTTTTTTCTCAGATGGCAATCTCTCTCTCTCACCCTCTATTTTTTACATGTGAGATGTCAAGGGCATCTCCTTCTGCAATATTTTGCATGATCTTTTAAAGTGAATAAAAAATGTTGTTGTGTTTGGAAAATATTGCAGAATAGATTATCTATCAATTAATCTTAGAGTGAAATAGTTAAAATTTAAATGCTATGCATATGATTACTTTTTTTCCATTTTTTTTAAATTTTAGTCATTTAAACAAAAATAAATTCACTTAGTAGTGAATACTTTTGCTTTTATGTCCAGTGAATACTTCATGCTTTTATTAAGTATATTATCTATGTACCCTTTAATTTGTGAATGACACCGTTCAATGTAACCGAAAATGTAATTTAAGACTAATTTAGAAAAACTTTTAATAATCTGGAACTAAATAAGAGAATTTTAACTCTCGGAGACTAAATTGGGTATTTCTTATTAGTCGGGGGACTACTATGGGCTTTAACTCTAGTGAACCTAGAGCTCCAGGCAAGCACCCTAAAAATTTCTCTTTACTTCTATTGAAGCTCATCTCCTCTCTCTCTCTCTCTCTCTCCCTCCTGCTTGTGAGATGTCAAAACAAGTCCGTGTAGGGTTTCTTTAACGGTGATAACATGATAAGCATTCGATCTTCTAATATTTTGCAAGCTCTCTTAATCTGAACATAAGATGTCATATTTGACAAAAAAATAAAAAAATCATGTCTCTGTAAATATCCATTCAATATTTGCTATAAATAGCTTGTCTCAATCATTTCTTATAGAGAATTAATGAAGAAAAGTTTGCAGGCGGGCCTACATTTTTACATAGCCATACTTGATTTCTTTTGTTTGTGCATTTTATTCATCACTATTATCCTGACATCCTCCGCACATCAACTTGCTTGTAATTGATATCAAAAGGTGAAAGAAATTTGGATAGCTATGGGTAATGATTTAAATACAATTGTAATGAGCTCTATTGCCAAGTTATAAAGAATAAAGATTGAATTCATGCCAATTTTATGATTTGGCTTTGTTTTCTTTCAATTCTCATTTTATCATATAGATGGCTACTGTATAGAGGATGAGCCTTTAGAGAAGGCAGTTTGGAGGAAAGAGATATTGGGAGGAGTGAGAAAACCAGCTAGGTAGGAGAGAGAAATAGAGGGGATAATAAAAGGAGAAAGAATATTTCCAAATCGATCAATTATTCAATAATTATTTATAAGCCATACTACCTCTATTTATAAAAATAGGTTTGCAATATGAGATCAAACTTTCATGAATTTAAATTATAATGCAAATCTGCATAGCTCCTAATAATCCTACCATCTATTTTGAAAAGAAAAGGATATACCTAATAATAAATGGAATCAAAGTGAGCAAAACCCTAAAAAAAATTCTAAAATACCAGAAATAATATATAATTGCTTGTGCTGCATCAAGAATCCCTTTTAATTTATGTCAGCTATTTTGGAGTTTATTTTTCTTCAGGGGAACTAAATGCATAGCCAGAGCTGTTGCTCTCATTTTATTTTGGAGTTTATTTTACTTTGCTTGTGCTATAAACAATTGTATTTAGGCTTTAATCTGAAAATCTTCCTTTTTGTTAACTCTAGCAGGATGTTCTTGGCATCAATCACACTAAAGATAATCGACCTGATCGATGAAATTGATGCGAACTCAAACTGGATGTTATAGTGATGTGCATGAGAATGCTTTTTCGGAACTTAATGCATTTCCAATATAAGATTAGATCTGCCCAAAAATGTTCTCTTAGACCCTGAATTTACCATCATTTAGATTAGAAGTTTGGGAAATTTACATACATACCACATATTCTCATGTATTTATATATCTTGCAGCTGAAGTTTGATATTTACACTCATGACAATTTAGTGTCACAAATCTATACATGAAAAGTTTATTTCACTCTTGAAAAGATAATGATTGTGGTATTTTTGATGTGATGTTAAAGAATGGAGTGATATGTATGTAAAAATGTTTAGGTTCTTGACATGTAAATACATAAGAATTGTGCGGTATGTATGTAAATGTCCCTTAAAATTTTGGATCAATTTCCAGTTTTCCTGAATCTGCAGCACATAATCAGAAGAGTGAGAGGCATAAAATATCACTTGGTTTGCAAGATCACATGCATACATATTTTCATGCATATGAATTTCTGTTCCTTGTGTCAATACATCCATTGAATTGTATGATTTTCTGAACAGTAATTGTCAATACTTTATGAAGAATAATTGGCTGGTCTCCAGCTTAAAGGCTTGTAATTTTCTCGTCAGCTAACTTTCCACTTCTGAGGCCACCTGGGTTCTTTCTAGTTTCTAAATCCACATATAAACTAGCAAATGCCACCTGGGAGCTCCTGTGAAAAAATTTCCTATTTTTGGTACAATTTTATATACAATTAAGCATCCATTATGCAAGGCAAAAGAACTTACATATACCACCCGATTGTTATGCATTTACATGTCTAACAACTAAACTTTACCTTTTATATTTATACCGCCGAAAATTTTCATATCACATTAAAAAAATACCACTGTTTTTATTTTTTAATAGTGAAATGCACCTTTCTTAATGTATAGGCAAGGTGGCATCTATGTAAAAATGAAAGTTTAGGTGCTAGACATGAAAATAGATTAAGAATTGAGTGGTTTGTATGTACATTTTCGATGGAAAGTATTTTTTAAAATAATGTAGGGAATGTATTACATCTATTTTCTTGTTTTTTTTTTTTCTTTTCTTTTCTGTAATGCGGTATTGAGCAGTTTATATATCATATGTTAATATAAGTGATTGTTTGGGGCAGCTTATAAGTGCGGGAGTGTATTTGAAAATGTTGCGGTACTGTTTGGATCGCGCATTTCATTCGATTATCAGAAAACGTGGTTCAATTTTTATACTAAAAGCAGGTCGCGGGTCGAACCTCGCGGTCGGCTGTGAGCCACGTTTCAGAATAAGCTGCTTATCTTGAAACGCACACCGGAAAGTGCTCGAAAAAATTGCCTCCTGCAATTAGGTAGCTGAATGAGCTCCAGCTAAGAGTTGATTATACATAAACTTGTTTTGACTTATCTTGCGCATGACGAGGTAATCAAATGGCCAATTCTGGGTTGAATTTTAATGTGGGCCGGTGCGGAATGAAAGCCACCCAAGTTCGACTAAAATTTATGGATGCTAATTAATTTTATTAATGATATTCTCTCTCTAAAATGGAAAATTATTTCATACGGACAGTATATGTAAAATGCATATGCCGTTTGATCTCAATCGTAGATCAAGAGGAAAATATTAATTAATTTTATGTTAAAATGGCATGAGCGTTTCAACAGGGGCGTCGGTCTAGCAGAGGGTTGGACCGGCCGGCTGATTCAATGGACAGGAACTACCGGCCCCTTCACCCCGTCTCCTATTATATCTCCGCTACTCATTTCTAGCCGCCGCTCCTGTTTTCCATCGGATGCATCGCCGCAAGCCTCGCCTAACATTCCCACTAAGCCGCACATCGCCTGTTGTCTACTTTGTGGGCCGCGTGGCCCCTTCTGCATTTTTAAAATGATATTGTTGAGCTCATTCTAGCTTACATTGATAAAATAATTATGATATTTTTTATTAGTTTTTTTATGCTATCTCTAAAAAATGTTGTATTTTATTATTTTGGAAATTATTTGAGCTAATTTCAAGTTGAATTTGAGTTGAAATGAAGAAATAAATTTGAATCAAGCTAAACATAGGAAAGTTGTTCTCATTTACACCCTTAATGAGGAGTTTAATTTTTTATGAGTCAATTATTGAGAAAGAACTATTACTCACTATTTTGGAACAAGAGACCCTCATGTTCTAATAAATTTGAAAGACTCGAGTAAAAGACATAAAAAAATGTGTAAGTACTAATTTTAAAAAATTTAACAGTTTAGAAGGGGAAAAGTACAATGAAGGTTGGCCGCCCACTGGCGCACAGGAGAGCTTGATGCCTATTTTATTTACCGAGCAAAGCCATACAAGTTGAGCCAATAAAGTTAAAGTTGATCGAAACATGAGGCAGATAAGAAGACAACTGAATGATCTAGGCATTAACATTTTTTGTCATAAACAAGACAAAAGAGCATCCAAAATAACTACTACAAGAAGGACCTTATGGGATAGCTTACCCTTCAATATAGTTGGTCCAAGAGAATATTTAGTTCCACAACGACTTCGACCATTCCATGGGTGCCCTAGACTCCTCATTAGAGATTAAGGATCGAGAGTAAGATGATATCAAACTGTCGATCCATATCGCCCAAGCTCAGCTGACCGAGCTGATTTTGTTTACCAGAAACCAATTGAATTAAGTCTGCCAGGTCAGAAAGTAGTCAAACGATAAATATATACGTGTAAAATGTCATAAATACAGTAGTACAAACATCTTTAAAACATGGGCAAGCATATAATATCATTATTGTATAATCTACTCTATAAATATGATAATCATTTTTGTGAATAAGACATGATATATTATTGTTTATTTCTCTCTTTTCCATCTCTCTCTTTCTCTATTTCTTATTACTTACACTTTATTCTTTGGGTTTGATTCACAGACAAATCAAAATTAAAAAAAAATGCTAATAAAGTTTAGTCATCATATTTACAAATATCATATAAATTTTATATAAATAAATAGGAGTGGCGCTCTGCTCGTGTAAAAAAATATTTAATTCGCGAACTTATCTGTGATATAGTAGTTGAGGGTTTTGTTTCTGGATTATTGTACTCAGAATATTGAATAATATGAAGTCTTTGAATATGAACTTGTAACAAATATTCTGCTTCAACATATTTCGAGTTAACACACCCCTATTTACAAAATGAAGCATTATTTAAACTTTTAACTCTCTTATACATGAATCTTAGATTAATCTCGTTTTACATTAGTTTGTATTTAAACATAAAAGCATGCGTGCTAAAGAAACTCATGTGCAATTCAAATTCTTTGATGGTTTTGTAGCAGAAAAAAATAGAAATTTGCATGTATTTTCACTAAAATTCTTATTATATTTGCATACATCCCATCCAATCCCTATGTATTTACATCTCAAACATCTAACTCTATTTTTTATATTTATCACTTAGAGTCCGTCTGGAGCAGCTTATAAGTACGGGCGGCGTTTTCAAAACGACGCTGTACAGTTTGGTTCATACATCCCATCCAATTCCTATGTATTTACATCTCAAACATCTAACTCTATTTTTTATATTTATCACTTAGAGTACGTTTGGGGCAGCTTATAAGTGCGGGCGGCATTTTCAAAACGCCGCTGTACCGTTTAGTTCGCGCGTTTCGTCAGCTTATTCGAAACTGCGTTTGGGTTCTTACACTAAACGCAGACCGCGTTTCAGGATAAACAGTTTATATTGAAACGCACGAGCTGCCTCAAACGGACACGTAGATATTCCCTCACTCTCTATTTTTAAAAGTGAAATGCATATCTTCATACATGAATAAAGTGGCAAGTATATACAAATTAAAATTTAGATGTTATACATATAAATAAATAAGAATTAAGTGTTTTGGTACGTAAATCTTCCATAAAATTAATATAGAATTAAATTATTAAGAATTTAATTAATCATTGAAATCAATAATTAAGATTTTGGCTGCATTCTTTAAAAATTTAGGTGATTATTCGATTAAATGTTAATCTTATTAATACATAAGATGACAACATTAAGAGTCGGAGTATTAAATGTAAATAAATAAGAATTACATGCTACTTAGGTAAATTTCCTAAGATTTAATGTAGAAATTTATAGAATTATTTTGATTGAAATCTGTGGGATTCGAAATTTAGGGTACATTTTAGATTGCCAAAAATTTTGCCCTGTTTTATCAAAATGGATTATTACACTTTGGATCAAGTTTGGTTTGATGTAGATGAATAAAAGTAATGCAACAAAAAAAAAAAAAAAAAAAATAGTGGTAGGTTAGAGGTGAAGGATTGAATATGAGGGTAAAATTTTATGACTGTTGACAGTCTTGTTAAATTTTAGCACTCTGTTGGATATCCTATTTATGAGATAAGTGAATGTGAGAATTACATCCCCTATAATTGGTTGGGTACATTGTTAGTGATTAAAATTAAAAATGTCATTTCGATGAGATGTTTGTTCTTTCTCTCATCTATCATTTTGTTGAGGTGTGTCAACACAAGAGCTTGTATGAATGCTGTTAGTTTTGGATAGATAAAGATCAAGAGTGGAGTTATGGTAGTCTTTTACTTTATTAGTTTTGAGAATATGATTTTTTCTCTAAAATTGAGTGAGGATCATGTTGTGGAAGGTTTTAAATATCCCGACAGTTTCAGATATTTCCTTCTTGAGAAAAGTTCAAGTGGTTATGGTATGATCATCCTCAAAGTTGACAAACCACCTAACTACATTTCCCTCATACTTCAATCCCAAAATTCACATACATATCATCCAATCCTCAAAACTATTTGGTATGTTAGTGAGTAAATCCCGATAAATCTTAACATACGATTTTAGAAGGATTTAATAAGTTTTATAAGACTAAATATTAAATAAGAAAAAAATATAAAAGAGCAAATCAAAATGCATTAAAAATCACATTTATATTAATTAATTAACATCTAATTACATATTAAAGAAAAAGTTAATACTAATCCATTATTAATCAATGATATAAATTAAAATTTAGTAAAATTTTATTAAATACTTTTAAAATTTAAAATATTTTTATTCATTACTTAACTATTAAATAATTACGTTTAATTAATTATAATTAATTTAATAATATATAAATTAATTATAAGTTATTAATCAATTAAATTAATCCAAGTATTTATTCATCACTTCCCTCTTAACCCGAAACCCTAGCCTACTTCCTCGCATCTCTCTCTACCGCTTTCGCCCAAACTTCTCATCTCCGCCCAAAACCTCTAGTCTCCCTCCCCCTCCTGGTTTCGCTCTAGACCATCGCCTTCGTGAACGAATCTTCACGATACAAACGCCATTAGAGGTACCTGAGAAGGCAACGACGGGATCGCGGCTTCCATAGAGCACCGAAAACTCCCATCTTTCTGTTCCTTCCACTCCGCTCCTACCAGAAGCCATTTAGGAAGGTAAGCCTGTTCGCGCCATTCTTCCTTTTTTGCTCGTCCCGTGACTAGTAAATCCGCCGATTTTACGGATTTACGTCGAATCGACGTCATTTTAGGCTTAACAAATTTCAGGATTCACGGAGATGCATTTTGTTGTTTGTCAGGGTTTAGCCTAAATCCTGCGTAAATCCTGCTTAAAACCGGCTACCAAACAGCCCCTAAGAAGCCGTTGAAGCACGATCTCATGTCTCCCGTTATGAACGGCTTTGCCGTGGAGGATAATTTGAGTAAGAAGAAGAAGAAGAAGCACGAGAAGTCCAAGCCTGATGATGTCGAGAGAAAGAAGAAGAGGAAAGCTGTTGAGGAAGAAGAATCGAGCAATACTTCGTCCGACGTGGTTGAAACAGTCCCAATTAAGAATGTGGTGGTGAATGGATCGCTGCCGAAGAAGGCAAGGGTCGTGGAGGAGGAGGAGGAGGAGGAGGTGGAGGATGCCGGGGAACTCGCCGGGAGTGGAGAGGAGGATGGTGGAATCGTCGATGTAAACGCGCTTACGAATTTTAGAATATCCAAGGTTTTGAGGGAGAGGCTGAACTCCAAGGGGATAAAGGCGCTATTTCAGATCCAGGCTATGACTTTTGATATGATTTTTGAGGGCTCTGATTTGGTTGGCCGAGCACGGACTGGTCAGGTAAGGAATTGGTTCTTTCCGATATGAATTGTATATTTTTAATTCTTCAATTTGCACTTCTATTTATGAATCTTGCAATTCGAAGTGGAGGGGAAAAACCCATGGTTTAAATTGTAAGGAAATCAGTACAATAATCTTCTCCACTGTATAGGAGATCAATCAATGGCCATTAATAGGAATTTGAAGGGGAAATCTAATCCATATGTAATTTTTTCATTATATTCTTTGCCAGGGTAATATAATTACTGACTGTGATCTCCTTTAGCTGCAATATTTGTCTTTCTATGTCAGTTTCCTAGGAGCATTATGCTTTAGTCTCTATTGTAGTTAATTTGGAACATGAATTTCATCAATCAAACTTGTCATGTGCCCTTGCACTGCATGGGGCATTTATAAAATATAACAGGAAAAATATGATTGTATTACATTTTTTATGATTTGCAACAGAAAATCTAATTAGAGTTGAATGCTCAAGTGCAATCTTTCTCTGAAGTTAAATATTTGGGCACCTTTTGTTATCCTTCCCTTGGATAATTTAGTCTTTCACCTTCTCAAGGATTGGCTCAAAACTCTCACTGTAATCCTCAACATTGTCAGAGGCGTTCTTCAAGCACTCCCCTTCTTTATTGTAGTTTTTCTTGAGTGAAATAGAAAGTGTAAAGAGAGTGAAACAAGAAAGGAAATCTAACGGAAATTGGTAAATTAACCTAAAAATTTTAAGGTAATCCAAACCAAGGATTATCCTCTGAAAAACATTTTTCTTTTTAAGGTGCTAATTTCTAGTCTATAGTAGCATCTTAAATTATTGGTATGAATTTATTTAAACTTTGAAACTATATCAAATAAATTGTTCATGGTATTTGTTCAAGGATAGTTAGAATTGGAAATTAAACTAAAAGAATTGAGCAAGACACTCTTCAACATAGATGCCAAACAAATCTACAAATCCTTATTCTATAATGAATCCAAAGATGAAACATCATGAGTTTGCCTTAGAAATTATACAAGTTTGGAATTGAGTTAACGCACATACTAATTGTAAAATAAATGGACTCCATTTATTTTGGAGTCATGGCCATAAGGTACAAAATCAAAAGTACCTTGATGCAATAAATGGGCTATTTTATACATGAGACTTTCAAGCAAGAACCTGAGAAGATTAATAAGCAAATGAGAGATGTGTTTGATGAATCACCGCCACTATAGAATTGCCGAGAACAAGGCACAAGAATTTATTGAATCGATTTGGAATTTAAGAGAATAGAAATGCCATTTGCAAAGAGAAACACTCAATGGGAATGCATAATAGTATTTCAAGGTATTCTATTATTATTGGCCATGAACATTTCTAAATTCAATATCATGGAGTAATGCATTTGAACCCATACCAATCAATATGAATTCATTTAGATTGACGTGAATTCACTTGAGCTACCGTAAACTCGCATAGATTGATAAGAACACTCCCCAAGGTTTAACTTGTTAGAATCTAAAGAAGTATTCATTAAGTGGTTGCTTGGTCGATTGCAAGAGTGCATTACATTTCTTTTGCACGACTTCTCTGATTTTTGTTTTTTAGCACGAACAATGATAAGTTTAATGTAAGATAAAAATTAATTTAGAAATCATCCTTTATTTCATTTTCAATGTATTTCGATTTTGATGGATTTGGCTGAAACTCAAATATGTAATTCTATGTAAATTGTTGGCCACCGCAGCCGCCAACTCTGGCCACCTCCGCTGACCCCATCTCCTGCCACCACCTTCGCCATAGCTCCTTTGGCCACCGTCCACCGCCACCTCCGGCCACCGCCACCTCCGGCCACCGCCAACTCCGGCCACCGCCACCATCTCCACCACCACCGCTACCAACAGCCGCCGCCGTCGTGAACCACGACTGTCACCGTCACTGCTGCCGTAGTCCACGACCCTCACATCGCCGTCACTATATTCTATTAAAGATCTCATTTATTTTAAAATTCATTGTTTTCATTTTATTTCTATTACAACGAACCAAAAAACTCCAAAATACTTCAAATACAATACATTACTCTTGTATTGCATTCATTTTATGCTACATTAGTTTTTCCATTGGCCAAGCGGCTCCTAAAGCTCAAACCTGCTCGTCTAAGATAAAACATATTTGCCCAATTTCAAAAACTTGCAAGGTAAACATATTCATTAAAAAATATTTTGCTAAGAAATTCAGCTATAAATTTGATTACTCGACTCTAATGCAATCATGCGACATGCATCATGTGTATTATAGCAAGCGATTAATGAGCCTTGTTACATACCTTTCTTCTTTATGTAAATTAATATAAGCTCAAACCCCAATCTACACGTATAAATGTGGATCATGAGGAGAGCATGTGTTACATTATTTCTGGTAATTGAACCAATTATTCTTAGCATTTCTTATCTCTCTCTCTCTACATGTATAAATTAAAAGGCAATGTCTAAATTTGTACTTTCATGATCATTGTTTTCTGTAGGTTTTTTTTGCTTTTGTATTATATTGAATATTTATTTTGGTCTTGTTACTGTATTGAAATTCTTAACTGCCTGATTTTCTTTCATGATATAATATTTACATCCTTTTACGTAGGGTAAAACGTTGGCCTTTGTTTTGCCTATACTGGAGTCCTTGACAAATGGCATGCACAAGTCTTCAAGGAGTACTGCTTATGGTAGGGCTCCATGCGTGCTCGTTCTTCTACCCACGAGGGAGCTTGCTAATCAGGTGCAGTGAGATCTTAAATGAGATATCTGCATTAACTTATTTGTTTCTGGTTAGGGTTGCAATAATTTATTTTTTCTGTACCATTCTCAGGTGCATGTGGACTTTGAGTTTTATGGTGGCGCAGTTGGGTTATCCTCCTGCTGTCTATATGGAGGGTCTCCTTATCGTTCTCAAGAGCTTGCACTGAAACGTGGTGTTGATATTGTTGTTGGGACACCTGGCAGGATAAAAGTATTGTTAATTTATTTTCTTTTCCACGCCCCTTTTGAATATATTTTACTAGTATGGAAGTTAGTTTGCTCTTTTTATGTGTAGGATCATTTAGAGAGAGGTACACTGGACTTGAAGTTCTTGAAGTTCCGTGTGCTTGATGAAGCTGATGAAATGCTGAATATGGGCTTTGTTGATGATGTTGAGCTCATTCTTGGTAATAATCCTCTTTAATCAAGCTATACAGGTCTTTATGATGAACATCCATTGATTTGTATTTTTTTATACCACTTTGTAATCCAATCCTAGTGTACGAACCTTATAATCTTAGCCTTTCTTTAAGATTTTTATCGATTCCATTAATTAGAAATAAGATCATCTAATATTCATGTAAACACATTTGTGAATCAAATTTGCTCTAAGATAGCTTATCACGTCTTCTTATGTTGAAATGCTAGAACTTCATATGGGCAAGTCTTTGCAAACTTCTGCGGAGCTCAAAATATATGCTATTCCTTTCACTTAAGCTTCTTTATATTTGTTTTATTTTACTGATTTATGTATTTTCTTTCAATAACTATTGTACTCTCCAGGTAAAGTTGCAGATGCTAACCAAGTCCAAACACTTCTATTTAGTGCTACATTACCCGATTGGGTGAAGAAGGTTGGCTTCATTTGTGGACAACTCTGTTTTTTGTATCATTAGAATTCTTTGTCAACTCAAATATTCAAAATCTGTTTACTGTTAGACCAGGGCTGATATTTTTTACATTTTAACAGATTTCAACTAGGTTCCTAAAACCACTGAAAAAAACTGTTGATCTTGTTGGAAATGAGAAATTGAAAGCTAGTGCAACTGTCAGACATCTGGTTCTCCCCTGTTCCAGTGCAGCAAGGCCACAAATTATTCCCGATCTTATTCGTTGCTATAGCCGGTCTGGTTTGTTTTGCAATTTCTTTTGAATATATTCTCGTTTTGTATCCATTGATTATGTTTGCTATTTCATGCAGCGGAGGGCGTACGATTATTTTCACCGAGACGAAAGAATCAGCTTCTCAACTTTCTGGGCTATTGCCTGGATCTCGGGCCTTGCATGGTGATATAATGCAGGCGCAGCGTGAGGTATAGTGATGTGACAGGTTGATTTTATTTTTCAAACAGATATTGGATGGTTTTCTATTTGAGTTGGGAAGATTTACACATACCAATCAATTCTTATGAATTTACATATTTAATACCTAAACTTTAATTTTTGCATGCATGCCACTTTACCTATGCATGAAAAGGGGTATTTTACTTCTTAAAGGTTAAAAAGGTGGTATTTTTAATGGGATAAAACAAAGCTTTGGGTGTTATAAATGTCAAAAGCAGCGTTCAAGTGTTAGGTATATAAATATGTTGAAATTGAGTGTTATGCATGTAAACGCCCTTTTATTTTATTCTATTTGAGGTTCTATGCAGAAATCTCCATCTTAACATTGCAGGGTTTGATTTCATGCAGGTTATATTAGCAGGATTTAGGTCTGGCAAATTCTTGATTTTAGTGGCTACTAATGTAGCAGCACGTGGACTGGATATTAATGATGTTCAATTGATTATTCAGGTATTAATATTTCTTAGAAAATTCATACAATGATGGTTCACTGCTGCAAATGATTTGGAGATCCAAACTTATGTATTGTCATTTACTAATTTATAAGCATCTTTTACCATATAACTTTACAAGTTCCTTTACTTTTCAATTTTGGCATCCTATAAATGTAAAATGATTTATGCTCAGGTCATTTTGATGTTCATGGGTTGAAAAAGTCCTAGTAATTGTTGAGCTTTGGTAGGCTATATAGTATCTGGATAATTTATTCTGCCAAGGTGATTTTTAAAATAGTTACTATATTTTTAGTGGATGATAGCTTCCAAGCTTTTGTGGGTGGGTTTTGAGCTTAGTGCTATGCAAGACATTTTAAATTTCTTGAATAAAATATTTATAATTCCCACGGTAGCTTGCTTTTCCACAACAGCTTCACGACCACATTTACAAAAAATTGGAGCCATCCGAAATGGCCTGAATTTGATTGTATAGATAGAAGTTTGTTGAATATGCCTCGTACATTTTTTGTATGCTAGGATTGGTATTTCTTAAATATCAAGCGTTTTTGGGAAGTGCGTTAAATTTTCTTTTTATGTTAAACAATATCGGTTATAGTATGTATTGCTAGTGGATTGCCTTGACATCTGTTTGAAATGCACTTCTGTATTAAAGCCATGAGATGTCATTTTAAATATATGATACGTTAGAATAAATACTGAATCATTGTATGTGGAAATAAAAAGAGCAATCATTTGATCGAAGCAAAACTTGATGCCTGAAATTTTGTGGAAACTAAACTGTGGTTTTAGAAAATTTTAAAACTTTTATTTTGAAAATTGTAATGTCAATGGGTCATCATCACTATGTGTTGATCTATGTGCATGGTTTGTTTCATTTAGGATCAGCATGTCATTGAAATTTGACAAGCATTTGAGAACATTATTTTGATTCCATATGTTGGGAAAGGTTTTTTTTTGCTGTATGTGATGCATCTGTTTTATCTGACAGTGTGAACCGCCACGTGATGTTGAAGCTTATATCCATCGTTCAGGCCGCACTGGGCGAGCTGGTATGGTGAACTCCCTTTTTATGATTTTATTCCAGAGACGAGTGTAAAAATGGTCCCTTGACTCGACTCTTTGTAGAGGCTCATTTTAATCCCAAAGCTTTTAAAGTATCAATTTAGTCCCTAAATTCTTTTAATGTTGCTTGCAGTAGTAGAGACTATTTGGGCCCAAATAAAAGATTTCTAAGGACTAATTTTGCACTTATATAGATTTTGGTACTGAAATGGCACCATGTAAATTAGTCAGGGGGCTATTTTGACACTTGCTCTATAATCTTTTATTCCGGTTGTTTTTGTTTGATTTGTTATTAATGCTACCTTATTTTCAGGAAATTCTGGAGTTGCCATCTTGCTATATGAACCTAGATACTCACATAGCATTTTTAGAATAGAAAAACAATCTGGTGTAAAATTTGAGCACATTTCTGCACCTGAGCCTTCAGATATTGCTGACATGGCTGGTTCGGAAGCAGTGGATGCTATTCTCAATGTTTCAGATAGGCATGCTTTATTTCTCTGGTGGAATGTTTTCTGTATAAATATTCAAGTATATTTATTTATATGATTTATTTTCATTACAGTGTAGTTCCAGTGTTCCGATCGCAAGCAGAGGAACTCTTAAACTCATCGAATTTGTCAGCTGTAGAATTACTCGCTAAAGCACTTGCAAAAACTGCGGTAAGTATTGAATGTTTTATTAATTCTTTAGGGCATTTACATGCATATCTAACATATCTAACACCTGAACTTTTGTTTTTACATATATGCCTTTTTAATTATGCATGAAAAGGTGTATTTCACTTTTTTTAAAATCGAAAATGTGGTATTTTTTGTCTTATGAAAGATTTGAGTGTATAAATGTAAAAGAAGTAAAGTTTAGGTGTTGGGCATGTAAAATATATAGGAATTGAGTGGTATGTACGTAAAGCTTCCTAATTTTTTTGAGTTTTTAATGCAAAATGTAGGTTAAGTCATGTTAAGGATTTTGTTTGTTACACAGGGATACACTACTATTACAAAGAGATCGCTCCTCTCTTCTTTGGAAGATTATGTGACTTTACATCTTGTGTCGGACAAACAGATCTATACGCCGGCGTAAGCATCTTTCTTTAGTAGTTACTTGATTTGTTATAATCTTCTTTGGTTTTTCCATCACATAATTTTTAATTTTTAGATTGAATCTAGCGGGGTCATTAGAGTTCTTTTTTTTGTATTATTTATTTATGTTTTGATATGATATAAAATATGTTTATCTTGCTAAAATAAACCAAATTGCTTTTAAAAACATAAATAAAATAAATATTTTTAAAAACAAGTTGATTTGTTTAAGAAAATTTTAAATGTGAAAATATATGAAATAAATATATTTTTACGAAAGAAATTAAAAAAATTCATATGAAGATCTGTTTATTTCTGACAACTTAATCTTCATATGCTTTTTTGTTAATGATTTGGACCTAAATCATGTTGTTTTGTGCTTTGCCAGGTTTGCTTTTGGTATAATGAAAAGATTCATGCCTGAAGAAAAGATTTCAAAAGTGAAGCATCTTTCCATTACAGCTGATAGTATGGGTGCAGTGTTTGATGTGCCTGCTGATGATATAAATAGCTTCATTGAAGGTATATCATTTCTTAATTTGTCTCCTCTGGTAACATTTACTCTGTATTTTTTGTGAGGCTAATGGTACGTAAACTTATGCGTGAAATGTGTAGTTCACTTCTAAAAAGAATGTGATGGTGGTATTTTTTTATGTGACGTCGGAAATTTGAATGTTTTTCATGTAAATATGAATGTTTAGGTGTCAAATATATAAATACATAAGAAATTTGAGTTATGTAAATTTTTTTACGGGCGTTTACATGCATACCACATTTCTTATATATTTACATTTGGAGCACTCTAATTTTTCTATTTACATGAACCACTCAAATCTTTAACATCATATCAAAAAATATCACTCTTACTAATTTTATAAAAGTGAAGTACATCTTTCATCCATGGGTTTATAATTCCTACTTATTATACACTTGATATATAAATACATGAGAATCATGTGGTATGTATTTAAAATTCACTTTTTTTTAAATTTTTCGTTCAAAGTGGTCCCTAGATTTAAATTTCAACAAGCTTGGAAGCCCATGCCTTTATATGTTTAGACTTTTTTTGAATACCTTCTTTATTCTCTTAAATTTGTTATTATTATATTTGTTCTGCTGAGACCTTAACTGGATTGCATTATATTGTTGCAGTTATATTTGGGATGCTACATTTTTCTTGATTCTTATTTTAACAGTAGTACTACCCAAATATTTTAAATTTTCAAAAGTGATACACTTTTTATGCATAGGTAAGGTGACATATATATATATATATAGATATATATAAATTAAGGTTGTAGTGTTAGATATGTAATTACTAGTTTAAAATTATACTTTTATCCATAATTTGTATACATTCATCAATTCTTTACGCTTTGCAATAGTTTAATCTCCAAATTTGCAGGTCAGGAAAATGCCAGCATGGTGGCCATAGAGGTTCTGAAGAAACTGCCTGCTTTGCAAGAGAGGGAGAAGAACAGCAGGTCCGGAGGCGGCAGCAGATTTGGTGGTGGTGGCCGATTCAGTAGCGGCGGTGGTAGATTTGGTGGGAAAGGCAGAGATGGTGGTGGCAGTAGTTTTGGCCGTAGGAGCGGTGGGTTTGGCGGCGGTCGGGGAGGAGGTGGTGGGCGAAGTTTTAATAGGAGAAACTGAAGAAAAGCATATATCCTGTTATCATTTTTTATGGCAATTTTTCATGGCTGCCGAAAAGTTTTGTTTATCTTCGCTTCTCAGTGCTTAAAAATATGAATTTGATTTAAGTTTAACAAACATGAGGGAGTATTATTATTATTATTATTATTATTATTTTATTGATGTCTTAAATGTTATTTTTGACATTTTTATGTAACGTTATATTTATTTTGCTTATTGAAGCTATAGAAGCATCAATATATTTCATTCCTGGTATGTGCCTGCTCTACTTATTTTCTAGCATCAAATGTTTTGGCTCATTTTACACTTACATGTAAAAATTGAAGTTTAGTTGCTAAATATGAGATTTGTTTTTAGGATGATGAAGTTAATATTAAGTTTGAATTTATTTCTAACAAATTAAATTGAATGAGACATTTCTTCCTTTTTTTTAATTTAAACAAGTTTGGGCCAACTTTATAGATTTAATGCAAGGTGTTGAGTATTTTCATGATGCAATTTATTTAGCTCATCATCCTTAAATGAGCAGTTAATTTAACATTTGAAACTATATAACAATTTAGTGAATAAATATAGGTATATTTTGTACTAAAGTTTTATGCTTGTGCTCTAACATTAATATTATTCACAAAATAATAATTAATTATTACAATTTTAATGGTTTAATGCTTTACAATAATTCAATTTTTTTTTAATTAGATCATTTTTAATAGTTTTAAATACATTTCAGGCACCAGTCTATCAGCTAGTACCATTAAAGAGTTGAAACTGCAGGAACAAATTCAAATTGAGCATGGTAAATCCTCATGAAACCAGATAAAATTGGCAAATTACATATATCTATTGGGTCATTTTACACAAAAGTTAAAAATATATTTACATGCGCCATTCCACTAGTTTGAACCAAATTCTATATTCCACTGTTCAAGCTCTTCCCACCTGCTCTTCTGTAAACTGGGTCGGATAACATCCATTGCTTTCTTCAAGTCTTCGTATCTTAATGGCCGCACCTGCAAAAGCAATGTGTCCATTTATTTCCTGTCAAAACCATATATAATTAAAGGAGGAGCTTACCTTTATCTCGCTTTAACATAGTGATATTTTTTTATGTGATATGAGTGATTCGGGTGGTATAAATGTAAAATGTGAAGGTTAGGTGTTAGATGTGTAAATGCATAGGAATTAAGTGGTATGTATGTAAATGCCCCATAATTAAAAAATGCCAACGTGAACTGCCACAATTCCCCCTTGACCGAATATCAGAACCAAACACGTCACTTGAGAACTTGTTACGACTCTCAATTCCTCTACACTTCTTCATTTTGTTTAAAAGATTTGAAATGAGAAAGGAAACTTTGCATAGGTGCCATAAAATTCTTATGAATTTACATATCTAACACCTAAAGGCTGGTATTTACATTCATAACAGCTGGTGTTATAAAGCTATGCATAAAAAAGTGCACTATATTAAGTAAAAGTGATAATTTTGATGTCATGTTAAAAATTTGAGTGTTATGAATGTAAATATGTAAATTGACGTTTAGGTATGTAAATGCCGCGATAAGAAAATAAGATACCAGCAGGCTGAGCAGTTAAATACACATTTTCTAGCATAAGCGAAGTGCCGTATACGTAAAAATTGAAATGTACGTTTTATAGACATAAATACATAGGAATTGAGAGGTATACATGTAAATCTTCCAAAAAAAAAAAAAAAAAGAGGCACCGTGGTGGTATTCAACATATATGGAAGCTAATTCAATAGTGCGCACCTGGTTAGCCTGTACTGTAAGAATTTTAGAACCCAATTCTCTGATTGGCATCATTGCAGCTTCTTCGCACAAAGCTTGCAAATCACTCCCAGAATAACCTAAAGCATAAGCTCAAAACAATGTTACATATACAGAGCTTTCTGCATGGCCTTCACATCAACTGACCGAGTACATACCTTCAGTTTCCCTGACAAGTCTGTCCAAATCACCATCTGTAAGGAAACAACGCTGTCAAATATTTGAAGCGGAACCAAAGGTAATATTTTTAGAGAAATTTATAAACATACCACGAAATTCTTATGTATTTATATATCGGACACCAAAGGTTTGTTATTTACACTTATAACACCTTGGTGTCATGAATATATGCATGAAAAACGTACATTTTACTTTTAAAAAGATATCGATAGTAGTATTTTTGATGAGATGTTAATGATTTTAAAGGTTAGGTATATAAATATGAATGTTTAGGTGTTAGATATGTAAATACATAAGAATTGTCCAGTATGTTGGTTTCTTATAATTAACAGAACAATGATGTAAGGGAGGTGGAATATTTTGCTAATCAATAGAAACAATTCAAAATAAAAGATCACAAAACGATAAAAAATCCAATTTACAAACAATAGAGGGCCCACCCTTGTAGTAGTTAACAGTATTCTCAATTCCTTCTTGACAAGAAGAATGTTTTGAAAATGATTGGCCATTATTAAAGATCAAAAATTTAAATAGATTAATAATTATCATTTCAAATGCCACAGTTATGATAGTAATTACTAAAAAAAAATGAGATGTCATTTTCTCATATAACCAAGAACTCAGGACAAAACTAACGGTAATAATGATAATCATAACTTGTATGGAAGAGCTCTCACCTGGCAAGGAAAATGCTTGGCCTTTAAGTTTGTTCTTGAAAAGAAGTCTCCGAACACTTTGATCCGGGAGAGGTATGTATATTCTCTTTACCTGGTTTTAAAATAAAATCAAGCGGTTGAAAAGTTCAGAAATTTAGTCCAGAAAGTTGAAATGATTCAGTTAACATGAATAAAAAATTCATATTAAGTCTTAAACAAGCACTTTTCAAAGAACATGAATGATTGCACAATAGAACAAGAATTTATGTATCAAAGCTTGCATATTCATTTATATCAATTTTATCCATGTAAGCAGTTAGTATTGTCATTATATCAAAATGCCCACTTGGGCAAGCAGCCTATTTGGGCCTATTTCTGTATGAATAAACAGAGAATTAATTAACAGAACTTGATCCCCATAACATGGCATGCATGAATTTGATCAATTATAAGAAAAATATTACTAGTATGGGAATGAAAAGCTCACGAGTCGTCGTAGAACAGCATCATCTAACTCTTGTGGCTTGTTAGTCGCACCTGCATCAACATTCAGCCAGTATCTAAAATGTACTTGCTTGATTCTAAGCCAAATAAGATACAACTAGATGAAAGTAAATAGCAATACTGTAATAATCAATCAGATGAAAGATAACTAAATGACAGATTGACAAAGAGGATGAGCTAAAACTCGGTAAAATAGGCGGAGAATCTCACCTATAACGATAACCAGGTCACTTTGATTGGAGGTCACCCCATCAAACTGCACCAGAAATTCTGATTTTAGCCTTCTGCTTGCATCATTCTCATTGGTTAATCTCGTGGACAATAAACTATCGATCTGGAAACATAACCACAAATTGAGTTTAATACAAGAAAGAAAAGCAAGGTGAAGCTAAAATTTAAATAATATTAGCTTCTGGTCAATATTGCACTCCAGCATAATGTCTTAACATGGCATCATTCCTTTCAATTTCACGGCTATACTACTTTAGTACTTAGCATCGTCTTACATACGAGTCTCTCTCATCATCATAATCATCATCATCATTGTATCCTAACTATTTGGCTCAAGATATACACATATGCAGCCTAATATCTCTATATGTAGCTACAGCTATAGTTTCAATAAAGCTGGTATTGTGCACAAAGCCCTAAAAGTTCCCAAGAAAAAGAATAAAAAAAAAGTGCCGTGAGTAAAAAAATAAAAAAAAATGTGCCGCGAGAAAAAAAGATCTAAAGCTTTTATTTTCTTAGGCAAGGAATCATGGAGGAAAGACAAAGGACAATGGGAATAACTACTAAAGTGTTTGGCAAAAATCACATTAGCCTTAATAATTCAACGACCAGGTTCAAACTTTTGCAGATTCTTAAAGAAGAAGATGGGTTGAGTTTGCAACACAATAAAAAAAGCAAGGAGCAATGTAATGGAAAAGAGAAAATAAAAATTGAACTTTTATCCATAATACTGTGAAAGTGTGCATTTTGATCAATGAGGCAGAAAAACATCCATCCAAGGGCCTAAATCTGGTCTAAATGGAATTAGAACCAAGAGATTAAGAATACACAAGGAGTTAAAAAGGTAATACTATAAAACTATAATTTAATTGTCTACGATATTTTGATTTATGCAAATTCAAATAATAAGAAAACAAAGAAAACACTGAAAATGAAATTAGGTGTGGCAAAAATGATGATATTAAAATGGAAGCGTTGTAAAATTTAAAAAAAATGAGAAATGTTTATGTTATAAAGAAATGGTAGTGACCCTCTGACACAGATAAAAATTAGGGAACTAAAAATAAAAAATCAAGTGATTTAGGGATGTACAACAAAGGAAAAGGTAGACCAACAAGGCGGGCATATGGAATCTTTGTTTGAAAACTTGTACTATTGTTGTCTTTATTGTGTTGCACAAATAAATTCACCATTACCCTCACGAATATTAACAAATAGGTCTTCAAGTATGTTTCTTATGATTCCAAAACCTTGAATGAGGTGTACATACAATCTGGTTTGCTTAGCACGTATTCTAAACTAATTAAAATTGAGGATCTAAATTTAAAAAAAAAAAGAACTGCCAAAAACCATTCCAAAATAATCAGAGAGTAGTTCGGCAATGTTGTGCTGTTGGTATGACATAAAGTGAATGTAACACGCATAAACAAGCTATTCTATGAGTGCCTGGCATATGGTCATGAAAGCATTAGTAGGTACATAGATAAGAGAGTATTTAAAATGTTATAGTTACTTTTGCTTGAATATATCTTGTTTATTGTTGACTGATAAGGTTCCCTCTTTTGTGAAGTACATTGGAATCGAATAAACACTTATTCCTGCAAAAATTGCCTATAAATAGGCTAAGTTGCTCCAATGAAATTTAATTCCAGTTCTCCCAAAATCCTTTCTACTCCAACTCCCATCCCTGCAACCGCCGACCCAATTTTTGAATCAAAACTAATCTGACCAGAAGACCCAATCAATGCTTCCAGCAGGGCCTCCATCCCACCAGGCGGCCTACATCTGCCTTCAGGCACTTCTACAGCCATCTATAGACTATACGATCTCACCCAATCGTCACATGTGGGCTAGTAGAAACCAGCAAACAACACTCTGGATTGCTGAATTCAGAGATCTAAAATCAAATTAGGTAAGGGTGCCATGCCATCCAAAGAAGGAAATAATTTCTTGTGGATGTATTCAGCTTTCCAGGAGAAAAGCTAACCAGCTTCTATGCAGTTCAGGATAAGTCATAAAATTTGGGTTTATTCCTGTCCAGCAATGTGGATAACCTAATCCAACTGTCAATTTGAAGAGTAGTTATTACAGTTCCTCTTGAAGGAATTCCTATAACATTTCTAACAATTCTAGTTCATTCTTGTGGGCTTACGCACATAATGCTAAGAGGTTAGCTACACATATAAACTAAAATAAAAGACAACATTTAGATGCTCTTGAAGGGGGTAAATAGCCTAATTCACCATGAAATTTAATTTTCACAATGTTGACACGGTAATGAATAGTGTAATGCCATTTCTTTAGAATTGAAGTCACTGAGTGGGAGGTTAATGTAAACAAAAAGAGCAACTAGGGATCCACAAGAAATGGGAGACAACTAAACGAGCCAAAGGCAAACAAAAAGAGCAACTAGGGATCCACAAGAAATGGGAGACAACTAAACGAGCCAAAGGCAACCAAGCGGCTTCATGAAGCAAACGAACCTCTAGTTCAGTTATGGAAGACAATTAGTTGCACCTCATGCCCTATAGTTTGCAAAGGACTTGACTCATTTGTAGCTAAACATTATAGAGTTTTAGTGAAGTAAAATGAAGGTCCTAAACAATGCTAAATTTATTAAGTAACAAAGTTAATAAACAAGGAAATTATGCTTTAACGCTAACAATATAACCAAGAGTTTCATTGAATTTAAACTAAATGCACGAGGCACGACTAATGAAAGTTGTGAAAAAATCAATCCCCATCACTCTACTTGCATCTATTTTGCCTCTATCAATATTTCACTCTCAACAGTCCTCTAACTTCCTTGCCACCCTAGTGATCAACGAAATTAATAATCACATCATTAATCAGTGAACAACTTTAACTATTCTATTATTTTAATGATACAAACTCATGAATTTGTGGACAATTGTAATGATTCTTCTCTAGTATTGGATGTTGCTTATTAGATGTCCCGAGATTGTATAAATATTAGAATGAAATGCTAAACTAATTCTCTCCAATTCTTTTCATAGTATTAGAGCTTTAAGCTTCTTTTCCCCCCTTAACATTTCCATTAGTCGTAGCCCTCAAAATTGAATTGCATAGAACTTCCAAGTGTTTTATCATTGCAATATTTTTTCATTCCACATAATCTTCTTAGTTGTAGCTTTTATCGATCCGGTTTTCTTATTTCTCTCATCAAAAAATCACTTCCACATTTTTCCTTCTTAAGGATTACAAAAATACACATTCCCTTAGTCATATCTCCATTAGGAATCAAGATTGCCAACCAAAACCATTGGAAAAATCACAAAATATCCATTCAACAAAGCGTTCCAATGCTAAGAATTACCTCGAGTACTCATAATTGGTTGGCATCAACTTGAAGGAAAGCAAAAATTTTGGATATGTACTTGACATCGAACCTCAACAAGGTGATCGTGACTTCAATATTTAGGTGATGCGAACGTACATGCTGTGGGAGCCCAGAACTGGGCTGCTAGGGGCTGCGACAGAAATATTGCACCAACAAAGCTTCCCCCTTTCCTCTGGACCAGTCGTTATGGTTCACATAAACACCTCCCGGGAGCCCCTGACCAACTTCTCATAGGATTTTCCACCCAACTAATGTAAGGGTCGATCCTTCGTTACCCTAGGTCTATAAATGTTGTTGTCGTCATACTTAGGTCAGTTTTTGCTTGTGTTTCTGTCAGGAAAGTCATCAGTGTCTCTTATTTTTCCTTTTAAGATTGTAACCAACGACGAGTGGTCCTCCAGTTGTATCTCATTCCAAGATAGTGATGTGCTCTCAAGGGCTGGGTGGTGCTCCAGTTGTATCTCCTTCCTAATGGAATATTTATCCTTGTATTTCCTGCCTCTCCCCACGCCCCACCCCCCCGAACAATTCCTTTTCCTTCGCCTTTTCTCACTATAGGAACCTCCAAAAATAAATCCAGTTGTTTTCCTGCAACTCCAACCACCAATTGCCACCTCCTCCACCTGCTAACCCCATTTCCCACCAACCTTCCTCTTCCCTGACAGTCAAGCCATCAACCACCCTACCCCCTGGCTAGTCCAGCCGCCTATCGATGCCTTGGCCACATGCAGCCCACCCAGGCATCCCATGTTATAGCTCCACGAACAGTCAAAATGTCGTTCCATCATCGGCTACCCCACCATCACACACCCCTGTCATAACATTTCCCTGTCGCCCACCCCACCCCACGGCCACCACTCCTTCCATTAGCAGCCAACTGCAAGTCCATCCGTTCCCGATAACCTTTCATCTACAGTCAGACACTAATCCCTAACCATCTAATTGTCGTCCAAATCACCAACCTGACCACCAAACCCGTTAGAATACCACCCTAGTTGCATTGAGTGTCCTGTTTGTTGTTGTTTTCCATTCAAATGTATTTGTTGTAACCGCCTACTGAATTTTCCAGTAATAATATTTGTTTGCTTATTGTTGCTTGGGTTAGCTCTAATATCATTAGGGTAAAAAAGACATTATAGTGATGTCCTAGTTAAATAATATTTGTGTGACTGCGGCCGTTTTTTTATGTTCAACTTGACTTTCGTAGTTTGAAAAGGTGATGATTTTGTGATTTTGAAAAAAATAATTTAAATATAAATATAACTTTTTGAAAGAAGTAACTTTTTAATTTTTAAAATAGGTGAGACCAAACGGGTCTCATATTTTAAATAGTTTAGACGAGTGAATACGATACTACAGGTAATACACTTATCCCAAAGACATAAATGTATCACTTGTAATAGGGATTCAATCACCCAGACTAAAGAATTTGTGACATCCGTTTGGTCTGTGAAATATTTTTATAAAAAGGCCAACAAGTTCCCCTATCTAACATAAAAAAAATTAGATAGGGTTTATTTTATCTAGGTTCCTGGTTCCCTATAGAGGCAAGCCCCTATAGTTAATTACATCTTAAATGATCGAAATCACTTAAGAAAACTCTCGATTAAGATCAGGTGGTTTTGTTTTCAAGATTTCAAAGTTTAGGTTTTCACGATTGGACATGGGAAAATCAAATGGGAATGGCTCAAAATATGAACAATTATTTAAGGAATACAAATGAAAGAAAAGTAGGGGACATC